TTATTTTTAATAAAATGCTGAAGTGGTAGGTAGATGCAAGATAAAGGTAGAAAACATAGTTTAGTGTTGTAAGAGAGCAAATGTAGATGATCAGGTGTGTGCCTGTAGACTAAGTGTTAATCCAAGCTAGACAAGGGCAATAAAACATCCACGGATGCAGAAGATTTCTTGTGCTATTTTCTTTTGAGGCCACAATTGACTTAATGCTTTCTGTGGTAGGCGTTAATGATGAAACCTGACCTGTGGGTATGCCCTAAAAGCCAGACTGCACATTACTGTTTGGGCTGAGATATTGTAATCTGTAATTTGAAAAAACATCACCACTGTTTGGGCTGAACATAAAGAGTGTTTTTTCTACAGGTCACACAGTGCCTCATTTAATCTTTATTCCTAGGACGTATTTTTATCTTTCTTCTTTCACCTTCCAGTAGGCTTCTTGAAATATTGAACACAGCTTCTGGACTCCTAATACTACCAGAGAGGACCCCAGATGATCTCCAGCATTCTTTCAAGATTCCCTATATAGACTATGCCCCTCTGCTAATTAACCCTACTTCAGTATTCTCTACAATCTGTCTCCATCTGCTATTAAGGTTGTGATTTAGGCCAAGGGGTCTCAAAGGTGGTCCACTGAACCCTGGGGCTGTGGTCCTTTACAGACTCCAGGCTTTCATGAGGTTAAAACTATATTTATAATAATATCAAGATACTGTCTTTTTCATTGTGCTGCCTTTTGCACCAAGATTGCAATAGAGAGAGTGGGTGAAATTATGGGCTCCTTGGCGCCATCAAGGCAGCAGCATCAGTGGCCTTGCATTAAAAAATTGTCTTTTAACTTAATAATGTCCAGTAAAAGTTATTAACTTTATCAAATATTCATCCTTGGGTATACATTTTTTGACAAAAAAGGAAGTACTCAGAAGGAATTTTACTATATACTGAAATATGATGTTGTCTTAAAGTAAAGCACTTGTTTGAGTTGCTAGCTGAACTAGATACTTTTTTTCTGTGGGATACCTACAGACAAACTATGGTTTTTGGAGGGGGGCATTTGCAGAAATTTTCTCCAAAAAAGAACAAACTGAGCCTGTCACTGCAAGGTAACCAATTGAGAGTAATTACTGACAGTGAAAAAAATCTAGCTTTCAAACAAAAATTTTCAAAAACTTACATGCACACTGTAAGCTTGACAGCTTCCCAATACATCAAAGCTTTTCTGATAAAATATTAACAAACGTGATTTTTTGATATTGTATAATGAAATGTATCATTTGGAGGATTTCATAACTAAGTGAGCAAATATTTTCCAAATGACCAAAGCAAGATGTTCTAAAATCAGGCATGAGTATAAGACCCAATTAATGTGCAAGACAGACTAGTGGATTTTAATGTGACACAGTACAAAAAGTTCACTGATATGGTGACAGAGTCCATATTGCAACCAACTGTTAGAAAACTACTACTTGCAAAGTTTTGGTATAATATCAAGGGAAAAGTATCCACATTTGTCTGAAAAGGCTATTGAAATATTTCCTTTTTGAACTACATATTTTTGTGAGGCCAGATTGTTTTTATATACTTCAATCAAAATAATGTATTGCAACAGACTGTATACAGAAGCAGATGTGGGAATCCAGCTGTCTTCTATTAAGCATCTATTAAGATACCAAAGAGATCTGCAAAACAGTGCAGAACAATGCTGATTTTCTCATTACAATTTTTTTTGTTTTGGAGAATAGGTTATTTTTAACTAAAAATGTGATATTTACATTAACATGTAAATGTAATGAGTTTATTATTACCTTAAAGGAATAACTAAATCAATATTTTAGTAAAAATTTCTCTTTTAATTTCATTTCTAATGACACAAATATTGATAGTTGTTCATTCACATAAACAAAAACTGGGGCTCTCAATTTTTGAGAATTTAAAAGGGCTCTGAGAATAAAAAGTTTGAAAACTGTTGATTTAGACAAAAAGAAGACTAAGAGAACATGATAGGAAGGGAAAAGGAGAAAGAAATTAAAGTCCAGTGAATATTAGGCTGATGCATTCAGGCTCACATCTATTGTTTTGGTCCACAGAGTGGAGACCCTGTTACTGTATGTTAGATAACGGCAAACACAATATTAAGTTAGTGCTGGTTTTGTACATTTCCAGTGTAAAACATTTCACCCAATTTTATAAGCTTTTGGGAAGCATTAAGAAATGGGTGCCTCCTGGTACACTCACCTGCTCTCCTGGGAGAGGAGTTTGACACAGGCCGTGTGGCCACAGTACAGGGCATAGGCCAAGGGTGTGCTCTCCTTGATGTCTCGCAGGTTGCTGTCCATGCCCAACTCCAGCAGCGACTGCACACAGTCCGCCTTCCCTGCAGCTGCAGCCCAGTGCAGAGGTGTCCTGGTGAACCACATGGGAATAACACATATGTCTAAGTACATGAATGGTTGCTTAGCTGGGCAACAGTTCCTGCTCAAATTCGGGTCATGGCAGGAGAAATGTGTTGCTATTTATAGTGTGGAAATGGTATGTATTAAATAGGGATTCACAGTGATGGTATATGTGTGCAGGGGTCTTTCCCCCAAGTGTTCCTTGCCTTCCACCTTCTCTGGCCTCTGAGAATTTCCTAGAAGAGGAAGTAGTGGCTCATGAACAATTTTAAGGCTCTTTACTCACAGTGTCAAACTGCCTTCCAAGAAGATGGACTCCATTTCTCTTATCAGCTGTGTCCCTACTCTTTCCCTAATGTTGAGTGTTACCACCACTTTTAAAAATCTTTGCCAATTTGGTAGGAAAATAATACTTCAATCTTGTTTTCCTTTGCAGTTTCTTTAATTAATAGTGAGGTTGAACTTTTGAAATATGTTCATTTGCCATTTGAGTTTTTTCATTGAACTGATTCTTAATGCATTTTTCCTATTTTTCTATTAGATTGTTGGTTTTTCTTACCAGTTTATATGGTCTCTTTACATATTAAAGGTATCAGTCTTTTATAGGTTATGTGTATGCAGACATTGACACTAATATTTGAATTTTAATTTTTAGTGATTTTCCATAAACAAATTTTTTAAATAATCACATTTAGTTACCTCTTGATTTTTTCCTTCCTGATTGTAAGCTTAGAAAGTCCTTCATCAGCCAAAAGGTAGATATATATTCATCAGTATGTAAACCTATATTAAATTGTAAAACAAGTATTTTCTTATGAAAGTGAAAAAAAACCCCCAGATACTGGGAGATAATATTTGCAAATCATATATCCAACAAAGGGCTTACATTCAGAATATATAAAAATTTTCAAAACTGAACAATTTAAAAAAAGTACATAAGCCAATTAAAAAAAATTAGCAAAAGATCAAAGTGGACACTTGACCAAAGAAAATGTATGAATGGTAAATAAACATATGAAAAGGTGCTTAGTAACATTTTTCATAGGGGAAATGCAAATTAAAAACCACAGTGGGGTACTACTACAGACTTATTTTAATGTCTAAAATTTTTAAAACAAAAAACTAAACCTGGCAATAGTAAATGTTGGTGAAGATATGAACAACTGGAATTTTCATACATTGCTGGTGGGAATGCAAAATGGTAACAGCCTCTCTAGAAAACAGTTTGTCAATTCCTTCTAAAGTTAAACACAGTTACCATATGACCAAGCAATCAATCTCACTTCTACATACTTGGCTGGAGAAATGAAAACTTAAGTTCACACAAATACTTATACACAAATGTATATAGCTGTGTCATTCAGAATTGCCTAAAACTGTAAACAACCCAATGTCCTTCAGTGGGTGAATGGATAAAGAAATTATTGTTTATCCTTAATATGGAATATTGCTCAGCAATAAAATAGGTACAGCCTACTGATATGTGGAACATAGATGAATCTCAAGCGCATTCTTCTGAGTAAAGTCAGTCTCAAAAGATTACATATTGCATATTTCCATTTCCATTGGAAAAGGCAGAATTTATCAGTGGGTGCCGGAGCTTAGAGATGTAGAGGGCTTGACTACAAAAGGACAACCTGAGTTGATACTAGAGTTGAGGGAATTATTCTGAATCTTTTTTGTGGTGGTTACATGAACCTATGCATATGTGAAAACCCAGAACTGTAGGTCAAAATATAAATACATTTTACTGGATATAAATAAAAAGAACCAATATTTTCTTCCAAATTTATTTGGAATAAATAACCCTGTAAGAGTGTGTCTATGTACGTTTTGGTATGTACAATGAGGTGTGGAGCCAATTTGACTGTTTTTACAATTATGAAGCCAATTTTTCCTAACACTACTTATTAATGTGATGAGTTCATGTTTTGAGATCCTGACCTATATACATACTTTCCTACTTTATCCCCCATTTAAGGAGATGGTTGACTTTGTGTTCAACCTGAGGGGAGGGATGTAGAAGGTGGATAAGAAAAATAGTCGGTGTCTTTCTGTTTCCAAAAGCCAAGACCAGAACCGAGAGCAGATTTGGAATAAAGTAGTTCCCCAACAGTAGAATGAGTTCCCCTTTCAGCTAAGGCAGATGTGACAAGAGGATAAAAGTATGAAGGACCACTGGGCCTCAGAACAAAAGGGACCAGAACCTTGTTTCCTTGGCAGAGCTGCTGAAAAGTAGGGGGTGAGGGATGTCTTTGTGGTGTGTCTAGGCAATGAAGCCCTAGGAGGCTAAGGAGGGGTACTGGGTAAGATGACATTCCTGTGAATGGGGTATCCCATGAAGACAATGGCTCTTCTTCCTGTCAGTCACTCTAGGAAAGGATTGATTCTGGAGCAGGAAGGCATGGAAGACTTCTACTTGGCCTTATGCTGAGGCATGAACCCTGGGCAGAAGGGCTCTCCTGGGAGTCTCTTAGACATGGAGGCAGCCTAGGGGCTGAGCAGAGAAGGGATCAGTTAGGGCAATTTGTGAATGGGTGTGGCCTCAGTATTTGCAGAAAAGCCATGTCTACAGTGTGGCCAGAGTCCGCAGGCATAGATTGTGTCCTCCATCAATCAAGCATCCTCTTCTTCATGTTATGCTATTGGCAGTAATTTGAGAACACTTAATAGGACCATTTATTTTGTTCAGTATAGTGATCAATCACTCTGCTTATTTGAATATATGGCAGATATGATTTATTCTCATTCTACATGAGAGAATATTTATTATGAAACAAGCTGAGGCACCAGCCAGATTATGCTCTTCTGTTTGGAGACTATATTGCCAATAAATTCAATAGATGGAGGGTTGGACATCAATCTATGGGTTGCCAACATGTGATAGTTCACTTTGGAGCGTTGTGAAATCTTCCTTTACGGCAATTGCTAGGAATTAATTCTTCAGACCATCAGCATGAAAGAAGAGGTACAGAAGAACAGGGGGGAAAGTTGTTTTTGAGAGAAATAAGGAAAGTATATAGATATTTACTAACCAATACACATAGAGCCTTTTTGGGAAATCTGTAGCAGCCAATTTCAAGTTACCTGAGCTGTAGTTCCTTTCTTATCTTTAAACTTCAGGATAGCCCTGCAAGTATAGAAGACTGGTCTCAACTATCACAGTGAGGTGCTAGAGGGAATTAATCAGAGATGAGCTGTGGGCTAATGAGGTGGTCTCTGAATGGCAGGAGATAATGGATGCAAGAATGTCATATCAGTTGGGATATCAGTAGCAAGGGTGATTTATGGGACATGTAAACATTCCCTGAAGAATTCCCAGAAATATGTAGGGAGGAGAACTGGATAAAAGACTGTCCTTCCTGAAGATAGATGAGTTGGTTTTTTAAAGGAAAGTATGACCTCCCAGACTGATGAAATTTTTAAGCTACATAAGATACTTCTGGGTTTACATGTTCCATGCCATCAGTCTTAGTCTAGTACCACCAGGTTTTAAGTACCATAGATTTATGGAAGTGTTTTAATATCTAGGAGGACTAATGCCCCCATATTTTCCATCATTTATTTTTCTTTTTTTTAATCACTACATTGTTTCTTCCCTTTCCTCAAAACCTTTTTCTCCATTGGGAAAGAAGAAAGAAAGGAAATCACAATTACTGCAAATGCTTAAAACACTTAAACCTGTGACAGTTTTGAGACCTTCTACTGACACAAGCTTACAGTTTCAATGTGAAGGGATTGCTGCACAATATAGAAACCATGAAACAAAATGGAGGGCAGAATTCGATCTGAGAATGCAACACACGAATTGAGTTTGGGAGGAGGAACTAGACTCTCCTTGATATTTTATTTCACTTTGAACACAAGACACTACCTTTTGTGCTTTTTTTCTTCTATTGGTTTCACTTTCTTCTCTGAGGATTGTGGGAGTAGATTTTCATAGCTAAGTGTGTGATAATGCAAAATAGGAAATACCCTATTCAGAGCTGGTTCTAGAAGTATTTAGAAATAGCAAATTCTTCTCAGCCCTCCTTTCTTAAATTTATTCTTTTCTTCTGTTTTTGGATCATTCACCTTTTCCCCTCACATAAACAAAGTCCTTCTACTTTCTTCCTCGCTCAGGATCAACATCTGCTCTCAGGGAAAGGTCTGTTTTCAATGATTGATACTTTAATTAAGGTCATCGTGTTAACCATCTCTAGCTTCTGAAACTTATATGGAAACAAGAATTTTTTTCCCCCTGTGTTATGAGGATCACAGGTATCAGGAAGTGGGAGGTGCTTCTTGGGGGTATCTAAAGTCATGATAGGGAGGTAGCTAATTTTGAACTTCAGTAGAAGAAAGTAGAAAAACCATATACAGTGTGTAAGCCTTGTACTTATTTTCAGTAATCTTGTTTGTTGTTGTATTATTTTTGTATTTCCACTGAATCAATGCCTAAGTAAAACAAAGGTTAGTTAAGCATTGTAATTGATTATGGATGAAGGGCATTGTGGGTGAAAAGCTCTATATTTGGAAGACAAGATTACAAGTCTTTCTTTAGTTGCTAAATACCTCTGGGGTAAGTCTATTCATCTTTTTGGACCTAGCTTCCTTTTCTATGCCAATATATCTTTAATTATTGGAAAAAAAAAACCCTGGTAAGGTCACACCTAGTTCTGAATACAAATTGTCTATTAATCTTTTGTTTGGATAACAGGAATTTTTGACTTTATGACATAATCCAGGAATAGAGAAAAAAATAAGACTTACTATTAAAAACAAAAAATGCATATAGCAGGAAGCTGATATACAGAAAACCTTCTGAGAACATTGAGGACGTTTAGCAAAATGTGGAAAATCTGACAATACTCTATAGTCACAGTTTCTTTCCATAACAATGATTTTTTCCTGCCCTGACTAAAATAGAGTAATTTTTATTGTCACAAGCGTAAGTGTAAATATTACTGGCAGTAAGAATATAGTCAGATAGGATAGCCCCTTAAATCTGTTCTTTATTTTGAGATTAAAATTCGGAGAAGATGACTGGTAGTTCTCAGTACTTTCTGAGTTGCCATGGGTACCTGTCGTCCACATCTAGAGCCTGCAGGTTACACTCAGGGACTCTTGCCAGTTCATTAATAATGTCGCTGAAACCTGCTGCTGCGGCAATGTGCGCGCATGTCTTCCCGCTCTCGTCGTCGTAGTTTATTATGGACGGACCCTGGTGATGGCTCAGAATGATAGAGCACAGAATTCTATTTCCGCTCTGGAAAACAGAGTCAAAGAAAGCTCATTATGTACAGCCCTGTGCTCTTCCTTGTCAATGCATGTTAAAAGAAAAATATAAAGTAAAAAACCACAGAAAAGGAAAAAGAAAAAAAGAAAAGGAAGAAAACACACTCTATCAAACCCCTCAACAAATTTCCACTTGTTTCAAGTCACTGTAGGGATTTTTGTCTCCCATAAGAGCTGAATTGTCTTTCTAAGCAAACTAAGGTGGACTTAAAAACAGGTACTACTGACATCAGAGCTAGCAGGTGACACCTAGACAACAACTTGCTCATTAAATCTATTTATTTTGTTTCCTTACTTATTGTAGAGGTTGACCTCTAAGAAATTGGCAGTGTTAATTTTAAAGTTAGCAAAATGACTATGATGAGTCTGACTGGTGGCACAATGATGACCAAAAGGATCCAGGAATGGTCAAATTGCCATAAATTGCATGCAATTTAATTGCCAAAAGTCCTTTGTGAAAGGAAGTGGATCATAATTAAGCAGCTAATCAATAAAGAAATAAACAAATATGAGAAAGGAAGAACTTTCGGCAACCATCTAAACTGGGTCCATCTTTCTGTGTAGGTCTCTATTTTTTCCTTATTTTTGAAGGGAGACTATTTTATACTCCTTTTAGTCCCCTGTCTCAGCCTTAAAAGCCTCCAGCTCTTCCTGGAGTGTCCTACATCTCTTCAGCTTGCAAAAATAAGTAAATAAATGCTGTGCATATAACAGGTGTCCAATCCCTTTCTTGGACTGAAAAATCAAACAACATTGCATAAGCTTTTGTAATTTAAGATGACAAATCTTCAATGGCAATAAAAGAAATTCTAGTTTTATATCACAAAATGGAAAGTCTTATCTTTCAGATTTTTCCTGATACCTGTGGAAAGACTTTAAAACAATCCAAATAATTTATTAATATTTTAATTTTCTCAAAGAGTCCATTGAGAGACCCTTTAACTCCACGCACAAGGTCTTATGGGTGGAATAGATGATCCTAGGGGCAGGCTGAGCAGCTTAAGGAAATGGCAAAGGCCGGCAGCTGTAGTTCTGGGACCACATGCCAGGCTCAGGGACTCTGGGAAAAAATAGAGAGTTGGATGTTTAAAAAGCCACAATTCTGATACACTGTAAATGCTGTTCAACAGCCACCTGGTAATAAAGTTTCCCATATAAAATTTCCTCTTGGGAGTCTTCCCATTGTATTATCCCTGTTTATTTGATCCTAGGGATGTGTTTTTGAACCTCTGAGTCAGTTTTCATAATTCCATGGAATAGCACCTGTTTATTTTTGCTTTTCCTCTTCCTTTCCCTGCCCTCTCTCTGCACCTGTGGTTTTCCAGATTTTCCATTACTCAGCTTCCACTGGCTTCACAGTGAACCACTGCTCTGCCAACCCTCTAGTGTGTTTCCACTATCAGGAGACAGTCGCTGACACCAGTTTCACAACCTCGTGAAGGACCAAGGGTTAGGAGCCCTCAAAGTTATCAACTTCAAGCACAGGAAGAGTGCAGAGTGGGTGTTAAAGGCTACAACCAAGGCTAGCTATATAGTTTGTGGGGCATAGGACAAAATGAAAAAATGGAGCCCCCATTTATATGGCAGGGGGAAAGCTTATTCCTTTCTTCCATAGTGTCTCTCAACCTATCATGGTGATTTTTGGGTTTGCTGTTTAGTGTTGTGCTTTCTTGGCGTGGGGATTCCCACTGAGAATGCAAACCCTCACAGGTGTCCGTGACCCCATCTTGCAACTCAGAACATACTTGATCCTGACTCTTCTCCTGGGTGTGCCCAGAGCCCGGTCAGGGGCTGAGAATCTGTTCCAGGGTGGCAGGGAGCTGGACTATGTAAGCCAAACCTCCATTGTCCTTTAGACTTGACTTGCCCAACATAAATTCAAAGATAAAATTATTGAGAATCTCCAGATGGTGACTGCAGAGCATCATACTCCAAATACAGGGCTCCCTTCTGAGTGTGAGGCCCGCGGGGGCTGTACCGGTCACACGCCCGCAAAGCTGTCCTGCCTGCCACCTCTCCCTTCTCTTCCTCTCACCTTCCCACTCACACCCTCTTCCTCCCTCCATATTTCTGTTATCTAACCATGACTTCTAAATAATTTGGATCAATTGGTTAAGTTCTATGACATGTCTGTCATCAGAAGTTGGCTACACTGAGCACATCTAAGCTTTCACACCTGCTTTATCAACTTTCATAAGATTTTTTCACCTGATAATACTTACACATACTTTGAAGCTGTCTAAAACGCATTTAAAACAATCAAGAGACTACCCTGCCTCTTTAAAAAGCACAAACCATTTTTAAAAGAAGGAAAAAAATTATCAGCTCAATTAATTTTGTTTACAACTTTCTGGAAGAGCAAAATAATTCGAGTTGCCAAGATGATTTAAAGGGCAAAATGCCCTGCCAGAATTCTACCTTTGCGTGGAAGAGGGAGCATGAAGCACAGATGGAAAAAACAAAACCCTGCTCCTCAGATTCCTTGCCTGATCCTCGGGGAGTCGTTCTGGAAGCAGCAAGCTGAGAGAGCGACTGTGGCCCAGGCCTGCCGGGTGGCCTCTCCCGGGATCCTGAGCAGCCAATCCCAGGCGCAGCTCCCTGGCAGCTGGAGTATCACACTGCTTCTCCGGATGAAAGGACTCCCACCGCCTTACCATTTTCCTTCAAAATGCCTTTGGTCCGGAATTTTCTAGCAATTCCTTTGCCTTTCCACCTAGCCCTCACTTGTGACTTTATCATTATATTTTCTTTTCCTTTATATAAGAAGATTCTCTCGGGAATAGTGGTGACATCTACATTTGCTGAGTAAACAGGCTGTGTCTGGCCCCTTTCTAAGCATTTCCATGTACTAACTCATTTAACCCTGACAACAACCCTTTGAGGCAGGCATTCTTATCACCCCCATATTGTAGAGGAGAAAATGGAGGCATGGAGGGTTTAAGTGACCTTGCCCGAAGTCGGAGCCAAGAAGAGGGGAGAGCCAGGATTGACAGTCTGTTTACAGAGCCCTTGTACTTCACCACTATGCCATTCTGTCTCTGATAAAAGGAACGGGCTATGTATTTGATCCTGCATGTTCATAATGGGGGAATGAAAGTGAAAACTGCTGTTTAGACCAGCAACATCAGAAGCAACGATGTGCACCTTGCCAACTGAGACCTTTTTTTAGAGTTCCGTGAATGGTGCTTTAAAAGCCTCCTAGGAGGGTTGCCATGGTGTACCCTCACAAGAATTTGAGAAGCCCTGGAGAGCACTAGTTTGTGGGCTGAGGCCCTGGCTCTCTGGTCTCCTGGTAACAGCATTTGCTTCTCAGCAGTCTGGGCTGAGTGTCAGCCAAATGAAGGCTCCGGGCATGGGAGGCTAGTGAGGGTGAGACCAAGTGAGACCAAGAAACATCAGGCGGGAAGAAATGGGATGATTTCCAGAAGAGCCTTTATGAAGAATGGAGAGTGGTTTTCCCATTGGTGGGAATGTTATTAAATAGGAGAAATAGCAGTACTGAACAGATTCAATTCTTAAGGAGCTCTAGAATTCTGCACTGGGTGGCCAGGTGAGGACAGAGGATTTGTTTGTTTTTGTTGTGTTTGTTTTGATTTCATTCATGGATAATCCATAAGGATGCCTCCATGTACTCTGAAAACTTGCTGGGAACTACCAAGTCCTAGCCATTTTCTCTTTACACCGCATTGTGGCCGGGGGTATGTGGGGGAATGGCTCATAAGAAGCTTTGTCATGAAGAAAGCTGAATTCACGTATAATAATTTGGTACAGGCAGACTGATAAAAAATGAGATGTAAACATCCTGATTGTGGACCCTTTTTAGTCTAGCTGACATTCCAAAGTGTCTTAGTAGGAGATTTAGTACTATTTACTACTTTGTTAATAAATGTTGGGGGAATTAGTTCTATAGTGGCTTCTTCTTGGTGGGAACTCCAATCTCCTTCCTTCTCTCGGAAGCAGGAACCTGTTTGCATCACTTGTCTCTGGATGGTTACTATATGAGCCCAGGGTTTCAGGTCTCAGAGCTCTTTAAAGGGCAGTTTTGTGATGTGACTATAACACTGGCCCATCAGCTCAGCTGGAGCCAGATATGTTAGGCTGAAATAGAGCTGGAAGGGAAAATCTATTAGTCTATGCGACGTGAACATTTGACAGTTTGACAGTTGAGGGTGTTCACTAACCAGAGGAGAAAGGTACCCAATATCCTGGCTTAGAGTCTGGATCAGCTTCATGGTTAGCTCTTTGGATGCAAGGTTTCTGCTTGGCCTTATTCCAGAGGCTACTGTACCCCAAAACCTGGGGTTGACCCTGAAGAACAAGTGGAAGATAGAAATGGGGAGGCATGAGGTATGCTGACCATCAGGTGCTGAATGACTCCATTTCCTAGGTGTTCTAATGCTTACTATGGGGGAAAAAAATCTCCTTTCTTGCATGTTGTATATAGAAAGGTTCTAGCTTCTGCTTCTAGCTATCTAGCAAGATGAAGCTCTCCAGAATATCTCTGCCTTGTCCTTGCTAAAGCCATGACTGGAAATGTTTCTGCTAAAATGGAGCTTAGAAAAGAGTAACTCTGAATAAATATTTGTTGCACAATGAATAAACAAGTAAGACAAGCCTTCTGAACCGCGGGCCAAGCCAAATGGAATAGAGTTTTGCCCATCCTTTCTAGCTTCTCTCTCTTTTCCTCATTATCTCCCTCCTTCCATGATCTTTTAACTTCTTTCCTCCTAGGCGAGTTCCTGTTTTTCTCCCACCCCCTTCCTCTCTATAACCAAGCACTGGGGAGCTAACTTAGCAGGCCACTTCAAGACTCCAGTTTCCTTAACAGTTTAGTCTTTGCTTCCAGGGTAATGGAATTTGTAAACTTGACTTTATCTTTGTTTACTTTGGGCTTTTGTGGCTTTGTAGCCTTCCTCTCATCAAGCACTGGGAGTCATGTGCAGGTGCTGGTGTACTTGGGCACATGACAAC